AAAATAAATTATATTAGAAAACAATTGCTAACTGGAACCACAAAAGTAATCAAAGCTATCACTAAATATCAAGCAATTAGTAAGCTGGCCCTTACCTTTATATGCTACAATATTACCTTGGATTTTTAGAAACCTTGGATTTTCTTCCTTTGCAGAATTAAGGCCTCGTGTATGTTAGGTAAACAGGGTTAAAACTACCTGAGTTATTTGGAAAGGAGCTTTACAAACATTCTGCAAAGAAATTTCTACTGGCTCTGTACACAGAGGCCAAATGGATGAACCAGAAGTAAATTTCCTATCAATTTAGCCTATGAAATCCACAGCTGAGTTGTTTTTAGTATTCAAAACTGAGGCACCACCTGGCCTGAATAATTCAGAAATGTGTCCTCCCACCATGATAACAACAGTTTATTGTTATGTACTCAATCCACAGGGTGCACACTGCTCTAAAGATTTTATTTTACATTCATCTTTGTTTTTACTGTGACAACCTTATGTTACCATGTGTTTATCCTAAGAAGCTTGATCTGTCTCAGATCTTCCCATACTACCACTGTGAGAAAAGTGAAGGGGAAAGAATAGGAATATGAATTCTTTTTCAGTGACTGGAAAGATGAAATACAGAACATACACGAATTATCCAAAACAGTGCTGTACATCATCTGCAGAGCCAAAGCAATGTCAGCAAGCCCCCCTGACCCGACATGTCCACTGCTCCAGCCAGCCAGCCAGCCACGCCCTTGCTCACAGCAGGTGAAAACATCACTAGCCAGCTTTTAAAGTCATCACATGCAAATGAACAATGGGCTTTTGTGTTCATTTTATAAAGCTTGTGTGTACAAAGTGTCACAGTAAAATAGCTTTACAATAATGAGAACTACATCATCTTGGTTTTGAAAAGCAAGTGTCATTCTATTTATCTTTACTGATGGTCCTAAGAGAGTGTCTTCCATTTTCCAAAACTTTTATACAGTAAGATGACACCTGGAAAAGGCAAATGGTCTATAAACCTGAAGGTTCACAGTGAAAAGATCTCCAGGAAATACTAATGTTTGTTACAGTCTGATTTTCAACTATTAAATTTATTCATAAGATAAAACAGGAATCCCTGCAATTAGCTAAAATTAGGATGGGGTTTTTATTTTATTTTATCTTTTAAAGATTTTATTTGTAAGTGATCTCTACACCCAACATGGGGCTCAAACTTACAACCCGGAGATCAAGAGTTGCATGGTCTACTGACTGAGCCAGCCAGGCACCCCAGGACCAGGTTTTTAAATATGTAGTTCTTTAGAAATGCAGACACTGCTCCATATCTTTTATGGCACCTGCCAATATAAGGAATATGCCCATGTCAAATACCTACTGTACTCTATAAGCAACATGAGTAGCTATGAAGAACATCAACTATTAAAAGGAATGGATTTCTAAGACTGATACAGAACTTTTACAGTGGACATTTCTTTTTGGTCACCAACCGTCCAAATGCCACGTGTATACTTAAGCATGCCCTATCTTCTGAGACCAATACATGTCCCACCACCAAAGTGCGAAGAAAGAAAAAAAGAAAACCTCACTTGTTTGCTTTCCCATTTTTCTTCAACACTAAGACATGGGCACATGCCCCAAGTTCCACCAATAAGATGCACCCACTCGAGCCCACATAGAAAATGATCAGCTTTTAGAAGCAGAAACTCCAAAGAGTCCACCTGCAAGGGTGGCCGCACCCGGAGGGGTTACATGCAGCTTCCTGAGGCAGCAGAGACGGATTCCTCCAGCAGGTCCCCAGCCCAGCGGCAGTGGTATTCGGAGCACAGGCAACAACATCTGTGCCCCAGAGAGGTGCAGAGGTGTCTTCACGAGACCCGTTTTGTGACAAAATTTTGAGATATTTTTCTGGGCAGTGTGGTCATCAAGCCCACTTTCCCAACCTTCTCAGAGAGTCTGTGGGTCACGCATATCCTTTTAACAGATTAGCCAGAGATGGTTTCTATTGCTTACAGCTAAGAACCATGATGGATGCATGGGCGCCTGGGTGGCTCAGTTGGTTAAGCAACTGCCTTCGGCTCGGGTCATGATCCTGGAGTCCCGGGATCGAGTCCCACATCAGGCTCCCTGCTCAGCAGGGAGTCTGCTTCTCCCTCTGACCCTCTTCCCTCTTGTGCTGTCTCTCATTCTCTCTCTCTCAAATAAATAAATAAAATCTTTTTAAAAATAAATAAAAAAATAATAATAATAAGGTATATGAGAAAAACAGGGTTGGCACAAACCTAAGAACCTAGGTAGCCTTGTGACAGAGGACTAACAAAACAGTGGCAACACTACTACCAGCACAACTAAATTTAAAAAAAAAACAAAAAACAAAGACTGAGTTTTTTCTAAGAATCTGAAGCAGATAAGAAGCAACAGTCAGCTGTGAGTTCAAAAGCTTCCTAATAAAGTCATAAGGTAATCCGGAGAATTCTAGATAGCATTCTTAGGATTAACAGTTGGAAATTTTTGTATATTCTTCGACATTTCAAACTTCTGCTCCAATTCCAGAGTCTCATCATAGTACTCAGATGACAAGTAGATCAAAGGTCACTTTGGGTTTAGCACCCCGCATAATTGTCATCCACTGGTCAGACGTTGCTCTTCATGGACACGCCTTTCTATAAATTGCCTTCCCCATTCTGACACTTAATAGTAGCATTCCGGAACTTGATCAAGTTTTAGCCTGACCTCCAGGAAGCATCTTGTGTGAAAAGCCACATGTACGTCTTATACAAGATTACCCGAGTATGGTGGGGGCAACCATTTGATGAAACGGTACTATGAAAGTAGCAGCAGTGAGATGAGTGCTAAATGAAAGGCGTTCACAGTTTCTTTATCACACCCACCCTCACTCACATTGCTTCCAGGCGCTTTAATACCTGCAGTACACTCCTGTACCAGGGTACGTATGGACAGCCTCCCATCATTTAAAAATGCATATTCAGGGTGGGGAGGGGAAGTGCAAACTACACTTTATTAGAATAAACTGAAGCACACAGCTATTTTTAATATGCTAAAGGCTGATATTGTCATTTACACGGAGGAAAAAAAATAACGTATAGAGACAAATTTCCACAAAAACAATCAGCCCAAGTGCATACAAATTTGGGGAGAACATCTCCTCAAGAGCTTGGTAAAAATAACTCACCAGTATTATGGGTACCACTTTTGGTGCTAAAGCTAATAAGTAATCTCCAAACAAACTGTAAAATATTGTTTGAAAGTCTGAATTCAGATAAATAGGAATTCTTAACTTCAAATGTAAAAATAGTATATGTGTGCTTGGTTTTGGCTCTTGTCAATCAAAGTATCACCGGTCAGGAGGATCCAGTTTACAATGTACTTTCAGTTCTCAAGCCTTTAGATTTGTTCTTTTTATATGTTAACTTCTTATTTTTAAGTAATTTTAGACTGTAAGATTGTAAGAAGGTTACCCAAAAACTTCCCATTTACCCAGATTCCTCAAATGTTAACACTCCAGAAGGGATGACCCTTTGCCCTTAAATACCTCAGATCACATTTTTAAAAACAAGGATATTCTCTTAATTTAATACAAATATCAAAATCAGTAAATTAACATTTATTGACAAAATACTATTATCTAGTCTACAAAATTTATTCAGATTTTTTTCAAATGTCCCAATAATGTCCTTTATAACAAAAGAAAATCCTGGATCATAAACTGCATTTTTTTCTCTCTTTAGACTCCTGTAACATAGAACAGTTCAGTCTTTTTTTGTCTTTCATGACATTGACATTTTTAAAGTGCACAGGCCAGTGATTTTGTAGAAATCTCTTCATTTGGGTTTGTCAGATGTTTCCTCAAAATGAGACTCACACCAGATGTTAATTAAATTTATGGTGGATAACTGTTTTGCAATATATACAAATATCCAATCATTATGTTGTACACCTTAAACTTTTACAATGTTATGTCAATTACATCTCAATAAAACTGTAAAAAATAAAATCAAACACAAAAAAAAGGAATATGAGATTCAGGTTGTGCTTTTCTGGCCCAAGTACCACAGCAGGGATACTGGGTACTTCTCAGTGCAACCTATCGGGAGGCAGGGATACCAGTCTGTCCCCTTTACTGGGGACAGGGACTTTGATCACTTGGTTAATGTGGATCTGACAGGTTTCTCTATTACAACATCGTAACTTTCTAAGGTTACTATGTTTCCTTTTATAATTAATAAACATCTTATGGGGAGATACTTTCAGACTATGTCAATATCCTACTTCCATTAATCTTTTACTCATTAGTTTTAACGCAGACTTTTTCTTAATTCCCCACTTTCCATAATTTCTGAGTTTAGCATGAAGCTCCTTTTATCTCATGTCTACCTGAATAAATTAAGTTACAATCAGCGTCCACCCTGCTCGGAGTTATTTGAGGCACAGTTTTAAGATCTCAGGAATTCACACATACAACCTCAAGGGTAGGATCGCACAAGGACACACAAATAAAGAAGAAACCCAATCTATCTTTTCTTCACATGAAAACGGCAGTGTACCGTTGAGGGATTCTGAACTGGCAGCTGGGAGCTGTGTAGCATTCCTTGTCTTCAGTGCTCAGGAAAAAAAGGTCCGGTATTGTAGAGAGTTTTATACCAAAATTCCTGTATTTCACAGTTTAAAGAATTCATTCAGGAGAGTAATATATGTCCAGTAGCAATAATATAAACACTTCATCTTAAACACTTTTCTTTAAAATCTTAGTAATTTAAAATATTTCATATGTTATCATTTTTCAGGAAAGACTCCCCTTTCCCCCAAACCAGAATTCTCAGGTGAATTTTTTTATATGTCCTCTTTTTCACGCCCCTCCCGCTTAAAGCTCTTTTTTTTCTCCTACTCAAGACTTTACGTCCCTAGACCAGAAGCAATCTAGTCAAATCTGACACAAGGTAGAGGGATGAGGAGCGCTCTTCTAGTCCTAGATTTTACAAAACTGTCCTTACCTGCTGTGGAAAACAGGTGCGGACTGAGTGCTCTGTGTAACCAAAAGATGGCCCTTCAAAGACAGCTGTTGGGAGCTTCAGAACTTCCTTCAGAAACTGGTCAAACTTGCTAAATATCATTAAGCCATTGGAATCTGACATCTGGGAGAAAACATCTATGAGAACAAAACCAAATAAAGTCAAACTAGAAAGAAATATCAACTTTTTATAAATAAATGACTCTATGTCATTTGTGTAAGTCAAAAAGTATCATTAAAAATTACCATAAAGCTAATACGATTTTTAGTTAATATGTATTCTCCTTCTTATTAACACTGTATAGTTACTTACTGACCAGGCCCCTCTCTCCCACATACTTAATATATACCTAAACATCAAACCAAATAGCCATTCCTGTAGGTCTACCTACCTACTCTTTTTGAGTGTGCATAATTGGATGATAAGGTTTTTATTTTATTTATAACTAACTTTGTTCCAAGAAGAATTTGTAGCAGCATGCCTTTATCTCTTAAAATTTATATATGTGTTTATATAAGACATACACATGCTTGGGTGTATGAATATATTAGCACATAGGTTATGGGGTATGAGATTGTATTATATTTATATATTCATATGCTAATAATGTAATGAATACCTGTGAAGGAATAAATTTGAAGCAAGCATAAAGCATGTTTAAAATATTCCATTCAGTGAGTTCCAAAGTAGAATAAAAAGAACTCCTATAAACTTTTCTATCCCAAGATACTTTGATACTGTAAGATCTTATTTTTACCATAAAGTCTGACTCAAGCAGATGGGAAAGAAATTTCCAGTATTTACTACTTCTTTATCTTCTTGGAGAGAGTCTCCTCTCTCCAGTTAGCTCTTCCTCTCTTCTCATCCATGGTCAGGGAGAAAAAGAAAAATCACTAGCAGCTCAAAATCACTGTGACAAAGAAATGTGACCTAAGCTTTTTTTTCAAACCATTGAGCTTCCTTACAAATAAGTGAATTAAATATGCACAGAAAAATCATTTCCTGAGGCTTTGCCAAAAGTGGCATTTTGAAAAGTCTTATTCTATATATTCATAATGAATAAGAGTATTAGAAATATATATGTAATTGATATATGTTACATACAAATATGCATTATTCCTTAGGTTTAATCTGAGGTATTTATCCTGAAGCACTAGGTGTAAAACAAATACATTTTAAATACATTAACCAAAGAAAGATAAAATGTTAGAATATCAGCTCCACAGAGTAACTTTTTAGGCATCAGAAAACAGGAAATTATCAAAGGAATGAAAACCTGCAGTACATCCTCTCTAGATAGCTGCTACTTTGATGTTGAAGAAAAAGTACTAGATACTCATGGCGGGTGGGGAGATTCAATGAGAGGCTAAAAGAACTATGTGGTCCCAGTAAAAAATAAAATCAATCACTTAACAAATACATACTAAGTTCCTCCTGTGTGGTCCAAATGCCAAGCACTCTGTTAGGTGTTGTGAAACATGACAAAGAATTATGATATACAGTCTTTATCCCCCAAGAAACTTTCAATGTAGCTGAAAATATAAGATATATCTGATTCAAAGAGGAATAAAGCGCTAAATTGACACTAAGTGGAACAGAAAGAATAGAGGCATAAAGATACTTGTTAAGCCTCATTATTTGTCAAGCACCACAAAGTTACCACAAGTAACCATGGCTGAGGCTGCCTATAGCCACCCAACATTATCTCCTTCTTTCTTGGTAATAGAACATTAATTTTGTTTTGTGCAACAATGTACCCAATAACTAAGAGACTAAAATGTACAGCCTCCTTTTAGCAAGTGGTGGTCATGTGACTAAGTACTAGCCTATGAGACTATCATTAGAATGGTTGTGAAGGACTTCCAGGAAAGCTGGTTAAAGAAAGCTGACTAAGCTGGAAGGCAGGCCCTTTTTCCCCCCTCATGCTCTTCCTCCTTTTGCTATCTGAAATGTAGTTATGATGGCTGGAGCTCCAGCAGCCGCCTTGGACTATGTGGTAATTGCAATTTTGATACTCTTGAAGGGTAGAAAACTAAGGTAGAGAAAGCCTAGGTCCCAGATGAACTACCGAATCAGCCCTGGACTACCTAACCCTAGACTTCTTTTATATAAAAGAAAAATAAACTTCAACTTTGTTTAAGACACTATTATCCTGGGTTTTTGTTTTCAAGCTACAATCCCTAATACTAAGTGCTACTATACATTACTAAACATTACCTCATTTTACACTCACAAAAAGGTAAGGCGTATGTGTGTACATGTAATTATTTAAATTGTCTAGATAAAGAAGCTAGCTTAGAAAGGTTAACTTGCTTATGACTAAAAAGTTGGTAAGTAGCTAAGTCAAGATCTAAAGTTATACTTCTCTGACTTCAAAGCAATCCCATCGTACCACACAGCTTCTTCAAAATATAGTTTAGAACAGCTATGAAAACACAGAGGCAGGAACTGTCAAGAAAGATCGAAAAGAAAGGAATTTAGAAGCTAGGCCTTGAAAGGTAGAACTTGGAATGATGAGATCAAAACGGGTTGGAAGTGGGGACTGGGGGACACAACCAGAGAAGAGGGGGAAACTTTCTATGGCCACTAGTATTTGTTAGGGGGGGTAAGCAGGAAACAGTGCACTGAGTGCATTCTTCAACAAGAAAGATAATTTAGTTTGAGAAATAAAGGGAAATAAAGACAGAATAAGAAAAGTATCTGGTATGAAAGAAAGCTTTGAAAGAGAAAGCACTTTGAATTTGGCTTAAAAACTCTTACATAGGGGAGAAATATTTAAGAAAACTAAGTTTTAATAAAATTAGACTATTAGTGACCAGCAGAATGGATAAAAGAGGAAGAACAGGATTGGAGAAATCAGCTAGTAAACCCTGTGAATGATGCACAAATGAGGTAGGGAGTGTGTGAACTTCAGCAGTGACAGTGTGGGGGTGGGGGGGGTCAGGGTCACCTCCAAGATATTTCAATGCAGGAAACTACGGCTGATGGCAAATTGGATTAGGGAATAAAGGAATTTAAGAAGTTAGGATTATTGTAAGTTTCTAGTATGGGAAAATGCTGAAAATCCTGACTGAAAAAAAGAAAATGAAGACAAAGATACTTAGCTTTGTACATAAGTATATTTGAACCAACCAGCAAATGTCCAGGTAGAACCACCCTGCAGGCAGTTAGAACCAGAGTACTAGGCCACAGTTCAAGATACAGAGCTTTGGAGATATTGCCAATTACATGAAAAATTGATGCCCTTAAGGAGAGGAGCGCATAGTGACTTCATTTTGAAATAGCTGGGTTCTATTCTTTTTTTTTTTTTTTTAAAGATTTTATTTATTTATTTGAGAGAGAGAGAATGAGAGACAGAGAGCATGAGAGGGAGGAGGGTCAGAGGGAGAAGCA